TTCTCCTAACTTCAGGCTTGCTTTATGACGTAATTTATTGTAGTTGTATGCCTCCATACCTCAGGAAGTAGAAAAAGTCTTTCGGAAATGTGGTGTTGATATTTTCAAGCTGACAGTTAGACAGTACAGTAAGTTATCTGAGACTCAGGCTGTCACTCACACAACATTTTGCTTCATTGATATATTTTTTTTCCTTCACGTTCCCAGTGGAACATAGGGCTTCAAGCTAGTGGCTTGAAGTTTCTGTAGCAGTGCTTATTTTACAGGATGAGGTTGCTAGCCTCATGGACAACCTTTACTCTTCACCAGCATTATTTCTGGCTTAGCGAAGTAAAGGAGTACGTCGACCGGGAATCGAACCCCGGAGCATGTGCATGATCGGCGAGCGTCCTAACCGCTATGCCACCGATGCACCATCATTTATATACACGAGTAAAAATTGATGATTAGACATTTGAATAAAAATCAACATAAGATTAAGTACATGTGGAAATAATAATATGGTTAATTTTGATGTAACTAGTTTTTATACTACTATACCAATCAGTATGTCCTTAGATGCGGTTAAAAGGGAACTAACTGAAGATCCTGAACTAACTCATAGGACGAAGCTGCCATTGAGAAAAAAATTATTTTAGGAATTCAATTATGGCGTCTCACATCTACTATATTTAAATTCAAAGGTAAAATATATAGACAAACATATCATGTAGCAATAGGATCACTAATATCCCTTATCGTAGCAGATATCTCTATGGACAGCTGGGAAAATATTGCTCTAAATACATTTAATCTCACTCCGAAAATATGGTGGAGACATGTGGATTTCACTTTCATAGTGTTTAAAACAGAACAAATCTCTAGCTTTAGTCACATTTAAACTGACTAGTAGAGGGAATAAAATTCACATGTGAATCGGAAAATGAACAAGGAGAATTAGCCATGATGTTATATTGTAAAATAAAATAAACTGCAGACCAGTATTTATAAAAAGCCAACGCATTCTAATAGATATTTAGATTTTAGTTCATCTAATCCGTTAACTGTGTGTGAAGGCTTGGTTGGTTAAGTGACAGTGACTAACAAACCGATCAGTAGCACCAAGTAGTACAGGAAAAGACCTAAATGATGAGATAAAACAGACAGAAGAAAAGCTGTTTGGTGTTACTTAAGTATCCTATAAAATTCATTACGAAGATCAGTAAAGACCAAAAGCAAAATGAAAATAATTGTGGAACTAGTAATGATAACATAAATAAGAGAGAATATAAGGCATCTACTGTTATACCATATACAGAGGGGACAACTGAGGCCCTACGTAGGATTCTTAATAAAGCAGGAATTAGGGTGGCATTCAAACCAACCAACTCAGAGACAAGCTCTGTAGGCTAAACGACCCTGTCGGTTGACCCAATTAAACAAAATAATAAAATTTACAAAATACCTTGCAATGACTGTGAGTTAAGTCAACTACATAGGTCAAACTAGTAGATTAGGAGTAGTGTGATTATCAGAACGTAAGAATTTAGTTAAGGTGAGAATGACTGATCCCACGAAGATAAGTAATTTAGAAAAAAGCTCAGCAGTTGCACTTCACGCATTAACAAACAACCACACAATAGGGTGGTGGGACAGAGTCAAAATTCTAAAAAGTAATATAGGTAGGTGGAGAGAGATAGAGGTTGATTACTGAATCCTGTCTGGTTCATCGAGTGAATCTACACCCAACACATGCAATCGAAGTGACTAAACGTGAATACCAGAGATATGGAAGATATTATTACCACCAGTCAGATCGGAGAATAATAAATAGTGTTAAAATAATATTCAATTCACATTAAAGCATTCTAACAAGTTATTTATTTTTACTGTGAAAAGCATCTTATTTCCCATTTGATTGTATTTGATTGATAACACTAATATCATTATTATTTCCGAGTGTACTTTATCTAATATTGTTGATTTTATTCAAATGTCTAATCATCAGTCTCTACTCATGGTACATAAATAAAGTAAAAAGTTGTGTGAGTGACTTGATATGATTATTAGCAGTAGTAATAAATTGTTCTCGAAACGTGGTCATCAATTAATATTACTATACAACAATGTTTGATTTATCAAAATAAATCTTATCCATAATGGAGTTATACTCCACCACAGCACTCAAGTTTTATACTTATATCACTAACTCAGGCTGTCAGGCATACTTAATAAAATAGGGGTAAGTAGAACTACGAATAAGTCTAGTTTGAAGTAACAAGGTCTATATATTCGAATTGAGAACCTAGTGACTGACTGAAATAAGTAGTTGTACACCAGGCATAGGTGGTCAAAAAGCTGTTTGACGGTTGGTTCGATTTTAGGTAACCGTGCTCAATTATGTTATTAGGCAGATCACATACTGCAGTCTGAAAAATTTTGGTCCCCTTGGGAAACTATGACAAAATTTCACCCCTCCTTTGGAAATCGTGGAAACAATTAATGATATCACCAGTATGTCTGGGTAGCTAACCAGAAATCTGGGAGTTCAAACTGATTCCACTCTATGGAAAACTGAATCAAAGCAGGTACATCAATGATAAGCTTGACCCTAAACAAGAGAAACGATCATCAAGTGGTCTTTAGATTACGTTTATCTTGCTAACAAACATTACTAATCGTTATGAGTAGTATATAACTACTCATCGCAATCAATCAGTAGTATATAATTTCGTACTAAACACCAGCGAATTGTTGGTAACCTAATACAAGCTCAGAAGGATTCATTTTATATATGTCCAAACCAAGTTCACTTTTTAAAGTTTGAAAAAAATTGGGCATTGGGTATTTGATATTCATTATAATAACGGTTTTCTTGTATTTCGCAATGAATGAAAAACAAAACGATATTGTTGCTTTGACTGACATTTCGCTATTTAATGCTGCTCCTCAGCTTATATATGTGACAACTTAATCATCGTTCCTCAGAATGGGGTCATATTTGCGTAGTCAAGTTGGCCAATTGGTAAAGATAACAAAACCAGGTGTAGATTGTTGGATTTGATAAGTGTGTAACAACATAAAAGCAGTGTGTGTTTACAAAATGAAATTGCTTATCACTTTCGTGTTGATTTCCTCACTTCACGGGGGAGTGAAGGGAGGTGTTGTATTCACCTCAAATTCTGTTTCAGTTCATCATTCCTATTCAGACAATTTGGATTTAACTTGCTATGAAGTGCTTCTGATGATATTAGACGGTTTTTGTGATTTCTGAAATTTTTCTGAATTATTTCAAGATTGCAAAAGTATTCATTCAGACATCTATAAAACACAAAATAATTGAGCAAAGAATATCCTTTTCTATAAATTCTTCTGGCTCTGCAATTATATATATATATGTTTATATACATCAACGGGTCAGTATACTAATTTTCTCAGCTTCGTGCCCTTGAAATACAAACCCAATCTAATAAAGTGCTTGGTTCATAGAGCAAGAGCAATTTGCTCGGATGAATGCCTTGATGGAGAAGTTAATAATATTAAATGGTTGCTAAGTGAAAATGGTTATCCAGAAAAGTTTATTGATAAGAATATGAATCTAAAATCAAGGCAGCACAAGGTACCAACAGTTCCCAGAAAGGCCTTATTCTTACAAATGCAGCTCCTTGGGGACAACATCAGCCAAATACTAACACAGTGCCTTAGAAATGCTGTAAAATGAGCATTCCCTGCTGCTGAATTACGCGGTGTCTTCAAAACCAACCCTCTTTTGCTTTCGGGAGTAAAAGACAAACTGCCTAATTTCACCTCTTCCATGTCTATCAACCAGTTTAACTGCTCCTGTGGAGCCAGTTAATTACATAGGCCACACAATTAGGCGTGTCTGTGGTCGATTTTCCGAACACCACCCTGCATACTGGTTAAGCCAAGGACAAACAAAATCTTTTCGCAGCGCTATTCTACCTTATCTTGTGGATACAGAACACAAGATTGACGTTAACCATGTTTTCAGGGTAATTTACCGCACATCTGTGAATCTCAATTTCGCCTTTTGAGTTCGACTACTAAATATTGCTGAGGCTGGCTGCTGAGGTCCATATTAACAAGCCTAATTATGTGTCCAAAAGAAGCTAGTTTAGACATTATCATTACCTTGACCATCTAGGTTTGAATGATCTTCAATTTTCGTGTAAATCTCCCTAATTTTAGTTGATATTCTATTCGCTACTATATCTTTATTATTATTATTTAAGCATCTTTAATGAACTGTGGTAATTCCACTGTGATCTTACTTTACAAATCAATATTATTTAAAAAGCACTGCTATTGTTATTGACTACTAATCTAGAATATTCTATGTATACAAACACACATTTATATAATTGTAGAGCCAGAAGAGGAAATTGTCGAAAAGGATATTCTTTGCTCAATTATTTTGTGTTTTACTTCAATACTGTCAAAATCAATTTTTGGCCTGATTGTATAACCGATTCGACAACGCAAAATGACCCCATGTTGAGGAATTATGATTAAATTTTTAAATATAAGCTGAGATTTTGTAAATTCTGGTTTAATAATACCACTTTGATAAAGCTATCAGCCATTAGGTGAGGAAATAGACTTTGCTCATATAGATATTCCTATGAAAAGTCCGTGTGCGATCAGATTTTTCGAAATGTGCTGCGCCAATGCAACATTACACGATTCAGATAAATTACTTCTTCTTATTGCTTTGTCTAAATCTGTTAGCATCAAATAGTGAAAAATCAGTAAAAACAACAATATCATTTTGTTTTTCATTCGTTGGGAAATACCAAAAATCTTTATAATAAAGGATTCGTTTTGTTGCATCGGCTGTACTCTGACTACAATAAGATTTAAAATATTCACACACCAAATAGCGGATTTTAAGTAGTCTAAATAAAAACGAAAAACATGGAAAATTCCTAGTTTAACACTATTTCAGACAGCCGAAGTATTAGTTATCTAACAAACAAGCTCAAAGAGGAAACAGTACTTACCGATAGAATTGTGCATACTATTTACATCTTTATAAGTAGTATTATAAATATCGTTAATATAATTGTTATAATCACTATTCTCAGTTATCCAGTATCCATGAATAATATTGTAAAGTTGTCTCTGCTGAGTATAATTCTGACCACCGATATTTGATTGCATATTAATAATTTCACAAAAACTGGGCATTTCAATATTCAATATGCAAGCGAAAGTAATCCAGTTGAATAGGCGCCATGTTTCACTTAAATTCATTGTTCTACTATACACCATTGAATATAACTCGTTTATTTTCAGTGTTTTTGTCAAATTTTTTATTTTGAAGTTGAGTATTTTTCAAATAATTCGCTTAGTTAGTAAGTAGTATATTATTGGACATTGAATAAATAACGCAACAAAATGGCGTAGAATAAGCCTCAAAGTTTATCATTTGAAGTTTTAAAAACAATTAAATATATATTTTTTAAAAAGAAAATCTGTTACTTTGTTTGCTCATTTTAAAGAAAGAAAAATAAACAAAACGGTTGGATGGTTCTTAGTGGCTATCACTGTGATTTGTAACAAAATTACAGGTATGTTGACGTTGATGATAAAAATAAATGGCGAGAAAAGATTGAATTATCCAATCAGATGTCACCTTCATTGTCACGAATAAGGAAACACGTCTACTATATACATATATATATATATATATATATATATGTATATTGAAACAATAACAATGCCTTATGCATTTTGTACACACGATTCAACCTTGTAGGCATTATGGACAGTGCTAAAAGTGGTAAAATAACATGGAAATACAGAATGATGTATGTAAGTGGAGTATGGGCAGTGATAGGCAACTCTAGGCAACTCTTTAGACTCATCAGGGAAACGGGTGGGAGAAGGCAAATCATAAGTGGGACTATTTGTGAGAAAAATGGCTCCGTAATTAACTCTCAGGATAAACGCCTTCAACGTTGGAAAGAACACTGCGAGGTACAATTTAACTTGCATACAGCCACACTGAACCTCCCCGCCATCCAGCACACACCCAAATGGGATATAGACACTGGCCCGCCGTCTGTAAGTGAGGTCAAAAAACGTTATCTGTAATTTGAAACGAGGCAAAGCGGCAGGATCCGACGGAATTATTCTGGAGGTGTTTAAACATGGGGGTTACATACTAGTATTTAGTTTAACTAAGGTACTAGGTAACGTCTGGGAATCAGAGATGGTTCCGTCAGACTGAGGTAAGTCACTTATTATACCGATATTCAAGAAAGGAGATAAGTCCTCATGTGATAATCATAGAGGGATCAGCCTAACAAACACAGTTTCTAAAATCCTAGGCTCAGTAATCATGAACAGACTAAGCCGAACTCGGGAGGAACAAACGAGTGAAAAACAAGCAGGCTTTAGGCCAGGTAAAGGGCGCATAGATCATATCTTCACTCTCCGACAGATCCTACAACATAGACACACTTTTAGGCGTCCAACAATTGCCATATTTCTTGACTCGAAGGCGGCCTTCGACTCCGTGGATCGAGAGGTACTATGGCAATGTTTGACTGTGAAGGGAGTGCCAAGAAAGTACATTGCACTAATCAAGGCACTCTACTCAAACTCACGTAGCCGTGTAAGGGCTTATGGGTAGTTGTCATCGGAATTGTTATTAACCAGTGGTGTCCATCAGGGATGTCACTTTCCCATTTCTGTTTGACTTCATCATAGATGTGCTAATGGAAGTATCCTTAACGAAACTTAACGATTTAGGAATCGACTTGTTACTAGGGAATAGTCTTATGGACTTGCAGATGACATAGTCCTGTTAGGGGAGGACGCTGACAAAATGCAGTCTTCTGAACACCTTGAACAGCAATCTTCGTATGTTTGGCATGCGATTCGCCCCTGTAAAATGTAAGATGCTGCTACAGGAATAACTGGACTACGTCAACTCCTAGCTTAGTGATAGGGAGTGAAGTGATAGAACGTGTTGACCACTTCACCTATTTGGGAAGTTAAATCAGCACCTACGGATTGATTGGTGACGAAATCACAGCACGGATACAAAAAGCTCGGGCTGCTTTCGCTAACTTACACCGTCTCTGGCGTAGGCGTGACATCCGGCTGTCAACCAGCAGTTCGCTCCGTCCTTCTCTATGGCTCTGAAACATAGCCATTACGAGTTGAAGACATGAAAAGGTTGACTCTTTTTGACCATAGATGTCTAAGTTCTCTTTCTCACGTTAGGTGGCATAATAAGGTAAGTAATGTTGACGTTAGGCGTAGATCGTTGGACAAAGAAAGAAAATCAATCGACGAGGCTATTAAGTTACATAGATTGAGATGCCTAGGTGACGTGGTGCGCATGCCTAACCATCGCCTCCCACACCCCGACAGGCATTACTAGCTAGCTGATATAGGTGCAAGTTGGAAAAGAGTAAGTGGTAGCCAAACAAAAACATCGCATCAATCAATCCATGAAATCCTCCCTTGACAGTTAAACTGAGTCAAGTCAGGTAGGGAGATGCAGACTTCCGGGTTGGGGCCCTCGGGACTCTAAGAATCAATGGCTGGAGACAGACAATAGGTGACATGGCTCAAAATCGTTGTCAATGACTAACGCAGATGTATTCAGTCTCTGTAATCTTTCATATTCCTTTCTACCATCACTCATTCTTTTTCACTCATATACTTGTCAAAACTCTATCGATTCTCTTCACTCATCTTCTTGTCTACGTTTGTGTGCTATGTGGAATGTGGGAACTGGAACTGGTCACTTGGGTGCCAAGTTCTATGTTGAATCCAGACAGACAACTCAATGCAAGATAGTGTTATTTCATGTAGTTCAGTGAAGAGACTGTTTTCAGTGTTGAATTTATTTCCCCCCTTAGGTAGACAATCTCATTTATATACAACTTTTCATATGAAAGATGGCACTAACATACGTGATCAGTTCTCAAATGTGTTAATGGTAGTCAGCGCATACAAAGGGTCGAATAAGTGTATTGGAGTTACATGATAAGATGAATAGTTCCATGGGCCAAGTTAAACTTTAAGCACCAGTGACTACCGTAAGAGTGCGCCGCACCAATGACGTTGAAATGCACACTGAGCAAGTCAGTGAAACCCGGCAAATAATAATGTTGTCATCATCAATAAAATATGCTCATCGAAGCAAAGGACAAGTTAGGGTTAAGTTAACCTAATAAAGGTGACATTAGGGTTAGTTCAAGGTAGATATTTTTCACGTTAAGGAAAGCTTATGGAAAGATTAGGGTCATTGTTAAGGTTGAAAGACCGACACAATTACATGCATAGAATGCGGTTAAATTACTCTGTTGATATAAGAATAGAACTTGTACACTGTGACAGAGTATAACTCCTTTATAGATAAGATTTTATTTTGATAAAGTCTCACAGTGTTATACTTTCATACTAATTGATGACGTTACGAGCACAATTAATTGCTCAGAAAATATTTCTGTATTACACTATGAGACTTTATCAGAATAAATTTTACCCACAATGGAATTATACTCTGCTGATACTCTAAAACTGCAACTCAACGATTAACATGCGTTCAAGGTTACTGGAGCGTTCGCACTCCTGGGACGCTGTTGTTAATCTTCTCCCTATTTTGATCATATGTGAAAGCAAGGTATCCTCTGTAACACCTTTCTACAGTTTTTATGCGTTATTTCATAAATATATATATATATTCCATACACAAAAATGGCTCCTTCACAAGATTGGGGCGTTCAAGATCATTCGCTGATTGGTAGTTAGTGGTGCTTAAAGTTTAACTTTGCAGTTTGATGAATGAACTACGATCAGTATCAGCACAGAAATGAAAGACAAAGTGGAATTAGAATTAAGATTTCTAAAGAAATACAACAATTTGAAGAGCAAACAAGCAAAAATAAAGCAAGTAGAAAGCAAAAAGGTTGTTTGCATGATAATAGGAACGGTTGAATAATTTTCTCCGGTATGAACAGCTCCGGTTTTTTGAATGGACTGGCTAAAGCTTCAGAAATTCAAAGGAGATGAAAGCGTATTGCATTTGTATACTACATCAGAGGAGACGTTATTCGAGAGGGAGTGATCAATGTTGACAAGGCGTTTACTTATCGCACCCTTTATAGAGCTACTAATAGTCTTTTCGTTAGGATGCTCTTCGAACGACCAATGTACCTGACTGCAGAGCATCAAGTGGGTTGACATGTACACATGGGAGTGATCAGATGCGATACCTTGTCCTTTGGGTTTTTGTAGTTGAGTGGGCGATACGGTATTAATAACCTGGATAAATTTTGGAGCACAATTTTTTCGCTCCTTATAACCAAATCGCTTTATTCACGCAGCTTCCCTCCCTTAGATTATTCATTTCAATTTTCCAGATATCGCGTGTAAGATTTCCGTCATTTCGACTGGACATTGTTGGTGTTGATTTGATGAACAGATGTGGGATGATCAACTAACTACTTCCGCTCTCTCTCCCCACTTAAGTAAATAACTTTATAATATTCTTACCTTATCCCATCCTATGATGTGATTACACGTAAGTGACTGTATTGTAGTAGCGGATTATTAGATTATTTCATCTCACTCTGAGACAAAATTTCCCATCTTCAGGACTTCGTAGATCCTATCAAGGAACGATAATATAACATACTGAATACGCAGTAGTAGTTCCAGGGTCAGTTACATAGGTCGAACTAGTAAATCTAGGTCATTCAGGTTAGTTTTTTTTCCTTCAGGTTCCCTAGTGGAACATAGGGCTTCAACCTAGAAGGCTTGAAGTTTCTGTAGCAGTGTTTATTTTACAGGATGGGGTTGCTAGCCTCATGCTCAACCTTTCCTCTTCACCAGCATTATTTCTGGCTTAGCGAGATAAAGGAGTGCGTCGGCCGGGGATCAAATCCCGGACCAAGTGCATGGTCGGCGAGCGTCCTATCCACTGTGCCACCGACGCCCCAGCTTCTTACTCCCAAGCAATTGCTTTTGAGACTGAATTAAACATCAACCGTGAAACATATGTTAGTACATAAGAATTATGTACTGCCTACCCGAAATGTACAAGAAAATGGGTCCAACTCGGATCCAAACAACCTACAATAGTTAAACCAAGCGTTTATATCCTTCCAACGTTGAAGTCAAACCGGTACATGACCGACTATCAATTAGAGTTACATGTGGTACAAACTAATCAAATTATGCCTTCCGTTCTGAATTTGCTCAACAAGTTCCAAGAGTTTGGTTACTCAGTGAATAATAGATTAGGCAGAGTAACTAAAAAATACGTATGCGGGGAAACCCTGACGCCAAAGGTGGCTTTTTTGGGATGATTGAGATTTTGAAATCGACTAAAGAAGAGACATATAAACCGATCTTA